ATGCACACCTTATGGTGTAGAGTATAAAAGGTTCGGCCGGGCTGAACTGAAAGTTGTTGTTAGTTGTCTTTCTTTTTTTGTTTTTTGGTTAGAAGCAACACCTACAACTAACAAATTAAGAAGGAGATAAAGAGAAAAAAATGTTTAAGGTGTTATACACATACAAACATATACTGAGTTTATTGTGGGAATTTTAAACTTGTTTTGTTGAACAGGAAGAGTTGGCGAAGAGTTGTTGTGATGAGGATATTTAAGCTGGATTCTACAAGCAAATCTTTGCTTAACACCTCATGCGCCAAAATCTGCTCCATGGGAACTTGTTTTTGTTGCTGCTATTATTTTAAGAAATTCACAAATAAAACGTACAAAACAATATATGGGAATTTTTATGAGCTGTTCATTGGATATTGGTATACACACAAAGATGTTGACCAATCTCAAATTACCTAAATTGTGTATCCACATGAAATGTCTTCCGTTTATTATTATCATTATCGTTAAAGGGCAGAAAATTATATTTTATTAAAAAGTTACAGTTCCTAAGCAGATAATTTTACATTCTTCTCATTTTCGGTATCTTTGTTTTAAGATTTTCAGTTTAGCAGACAACGACGATTTTTGGTATGGAAGTTTAATCATTATTGTTGTGTGGTCTTTACATATCTTGTTGCTTCAGATTCTTTCGAAAAAGTTAAAAAGAAAAGCAAGAACGTATATTCCAATATATGGATTATAATCTAGTGTACTATACAGGTAGTTTAATTATCGAACATAGTTATTGTCTTAAGCCGAAAACACCTGCTCTCAGATATTTTTATTTATGTTGAAAAGACAAAGTTATTTTCTAAAATATGCACTTTTTGAAGTGTATTCAGTATTGTAACTGTTATTGAAAATAAATGCTGTCATCAAAATTTAATGAATTAGGTATAGAATGATGTGTGTTATGTTTCGAGAAAATCCGTTAAGATTTAGATATAGCTCCCATATATATCTTAATCTGATTTAAGGTAAATGGTGTACCAAAGTCCCTATATATCATTTGATTTGCACCTAATTTGGCATAGCGATATGAATTAGGTCTAGAATGATGTGTGTTAATTTTCCTGAAAATCGGTTCAGATTTAGATATAGCTCCCATATATATTTTCGTCCGATTTAGGGTAAATGGTGCACCGAAGTCCATATATATCTTTCGATTTGCACGAAATTTGGCACAGAGTACTGAATTAGTGCAAAGTTGATGTGTGCAAAGTTTCGTGAAAATCGGTTCTAATTTAGATTTAGCTCCCATATATAGTTTTATCCGATTTTATGCAAATGGTACACCAAAGTCCTTACTGAATTAGGTCCAGAATGATTTCGTGAAAATCGATTCCGATTTAGATATAGCTTCAATATATATTTTCGACCGATTTAATTTAAATTGTGCACTAAAGACCCAAAGATTGGCCGATCGGCACACAATTTTGTACAATGTAGGGGAGACTGGGGCACCTTCGGCACTTTTTTTAGAGCTCTATATCTCAGTACTTATTCAACATATATAACAACTTCATGGTTGATTATTATTCTCTGACACTTAATTAAAAAAAATAGTACCAAAAATATATAAAAAATAGTATTATAGTACGTTTACATTTAACCAGATTTCGTTAACCTAGTGGGGTTCAATTGTCAATTCCTTTGCATATATGTCAAATAAATCCTCATAAAGTAGGCTAATCCCGTAAAAAGTTCTAATGTATATGCCGTTTTAGTTAAAAAATTTTACAGTTTTGTAAAAAAAAAGTCAAATTCGCCGAAGGTGCCCCAACCCGGGGTATCTTCGGCATTTGATGGGGCACATTCGGCACCATAGTCATAGCCGGGTAATTGTCATCGCTATCAGTCTGGTTGAAATTCTGATCCTCTAAAGGCTCTATTTGGTTCTAATACGCCACACAATGTTTGAATAATAGGGCTTTATTTTCTAGCGGCGGACGTTTACATCGCACACACCATCAGAAATAGAGGATTTCTATCGCATTTTCGTCAATACAAGCACGTTTGATCTTATATATGTAATTTCGAGCCATATTAAAGGATTTGTTTTAAAGACAAACTCAAAAACATTTTAAGGAAATAATATTGCACAATCTGTATATGGCCGAATGTGCCCCACTTTAAAATGCCGAATGTACCCCGAATGTACCTTTTATAGTTTTTTTCATTTTTTTTTCGATCTGTTTTGTAAAAACAATATATTTTTGAATATTTTTATAATAATACACATCGTACTTAACAACTTTTTAATAATATTGTCTTAAAAATTTAAAAAAGTTTTATACACGAAATACTTACGAAATGGAATTGAAATATTACAGAAACATCTATAAAAATACAAAAACCTATGTATCTAAATAAGCTTATTAGCTAGAAATTTTAAACTTTGTGTCAGTTATTTATTTCGATATTCGATACCTATGTATCGAAACTAGTGATGTGCGGTGAGAGCTTCATATCGAAAACGCGATTGCTGAAGGTGCCCCGATGCCGAAGGTGCCCCAGTCTCCCCTACTGTTACTATAACCTTTCGTGTGTCAAGTTTTCTTGAAATTGGTTCAGATTAACATATAGATTCTATATAATTTCGTCCGATTTTAAGTAAATGATGCACTAAAGTTCCATACCTAGGCCGATTGACAAAACGTACTGAAATTAATCAAAATTAATATCTAGCAAGTCTCCTTGAATTCGTTTCAGATTTAGATATCGAATAGCTTCCATATATAATTTCGACCTATTCATGTTGACTGTACACCAAATAATCAATGGGTGCCAAATATCGCGTGTAAAGTTTGCTTTAAATCTATTTACAAAGTATGGTAAGTTGCAGAATGGCATGTGTTGGAATTGATGTTAGTCGGTTTACTTATATATAAAGATCGCATATTTAATTTCGTTCAATTTCATGTCAATGTTCCTTAGAAAAGGCGACGTCTGTTAGGATACATATGTAGAATATTCCCAAAGTGGTGAAGGGTATCATATAGTCGGCCCAGTCCGACTTTACTACTTTCCTTACTGGTTTTGAAGTATATCTGAGATGAAAAGTAATGGAATATGAGCATATTCCACCTTCCTCGATTTAGTTTTAGAGTGTTAGTGCCAACTTCGCCTCCTTGATCTTGAGATTATAGGATATCTGCCATTTCCTCAGAGATTCTCCTCCAAAATTATTTGAATACCCGAGGTTATTTATTTAATTCGCAGCTACGCAATGAATGTTCTTTGGCTTTCCACTATCCGCAACCTGTGGACGCGTCTGGTAACATGCAACTTTGTTCCCGGACCCGGAAAAAATTGAACATTTCACGATTAATTAGGAATGCCAAATTACGGCGTCTTTAATGGGATAATTAAACTATAAAGTCCAAAATAATGAAAATGTTGCGTGACTTTTATATGGGGACAATGTCAAAACATGGTAATATATCGATACCTTTCTCCAAAGAAATCAGAAATCAGATTCCACTCACACGGAATATCAAATTACAAACACATCAGTGGGAATATCTGAACACCGTTTGTGACCTTTATGTGTTTGCATACATGTAAAACTTTCTGCAAGTATGCATTACACCCTCTGCAGCCAACCAACAGAGAAAATACGTTTAATATTTTCAAATTATCGAAAAACGAAGCTTTATGTAAGGTCGGCATTTTGCGGTTGCTACACTCTACGAATAAGTCATTACACAAATGTTCAATAAAAATTGTCATTTCATTATATACACAAATGTTCAAAATTTCAACATTGCTAAAATATTGCGACATGGACACACCAGAACATTGCTAAATCGACATGGAATCTTATTTTGATAATGATTTTCCACTTTATGGCATTTCCGATGAATTTGTACATAAAGGAAATAAAACACAACGATAATTTGGATTACATATGCAACTCGTATGTAACATACAACATTATATTTTTGGATTTTTTTCTTTTGATATTATAATTAAATTTTTAATACAAATTTATCTTATTAAAGCACTATCAACTAAAAATTAAAAAAAAAACTTAAACACAAGAGCAATATCCAATATTTACACAAAAACTAAAAAAAAGATTAAACATAAACTAAATTCATTTGGGTATATAACATTAATATGTGTGTATATATAAAATATGTATTGTTTATATCAACTATAGTAGGAAATTAAAATAAATGTTATTTATGCTAAGTTTACACTGAATCGAATAAAGGGAAATCCTAATTATTAGATACTTTGTAAGCTTGTCATAAATGTTGTCAAGGTTATCTGTTAAAATACAAATAAATTCAGTCTAAGGGTGGTGTATGACCAATAAAGTTATAATATTTCGGTTTTGTACAGGATTATTGGCACCATTAAGTCAATTCCAAGATAATAGAAAACTTAATGGTACCAAGAACGAAATACAAAAAGAAAAATTACACCATTTATGGAACTGACACACTAACAATTTTGAGTTATAATTAAGTTTATAGTCATATTTTTTTAAATGGTATGGAATAGAGTTCTGCAGAGGTTTACGGTTCCATGTTATATTAGTAATACAAAAACATTATTTAGATGAGTATCAGAAATTATATTTAAGCTATTATGACGTTGACTATACACAGTTTTTTTATATTTTTGTTGTTTAAAATGATTGTTTTCTACGCTACATGTAGGTTTGTTTGTTTTGTTCTATTTCGAGTTCTATGACATTTCCTTTGGACTTTACAATATTCTATAAATAGGTTTAGGGGCTATTATGGCCTATAGATTCCTAAGAGTCTTCTTGCTATACAGACGAACTTTGGTTCGTTACCAAAAAACCAAAAAGGACATAAAAATAAACGGAGAAGATATTTCGAAAATGTTTAGATCAAAGGACCCAATACACTTTGAACTATTCCAAACTATATGTTTGTCTAATTGTTGTCATGACAAGGTTTCCTTTCTCAGTCTCAAATAATGTGTTATAATTATGCCTTAAAGAAACCTTGAATGACTAACTCTCATGTTGCTTTGGAAATTGTATCTTCTATTTCGTCTTGTTTATGCAGAGCAGGGCTCCAGGAAAGCCTTTTTCAATTGGGTCTCATGGGTAACATGCCATAGTGCTGATTGTGTTGCTGGGGGTGAGCAGGTGGTGGAGGTTGCTGCTGTGGTGGTGGCTGTTGTTGTTGTTGCTGCTGATGATGATGTTGCACCATCATTTGCTGTTGTTGCTGCTGCTGTTGTTGTTGCGTTGTTGGTTGCGGTGCATGTGGAGCTGGTGCACCCTGACTAGTGGAGAATTGTCCAATTGTTGTGGTAGTTGAAGTCATTGACGGCGCTTGAGACACCACCACTGGTGTGGACACCTTACGTTCCGACTGAGTTCTAATTGGTGGGGGATTAGTGGCAGACGAAACTTGATGTTGATTAGGTTGTGGTGGTGGGGCATACATTATCATTGGTGGTTCAGTGCTTGGAATACGTGCTGGTGGAGTCATTGAAGAACCATGGTACGAACCATATGAACTGTCGTCAGATTGTGCTGATTGGCCACGATTGCGGGGAACAGTCATACCATAGACTGATTCAGGACGACGATCGAATTTTACATTGCCATCAGTGGGATTGGGATTTTGTCTGGTACCGTAAACTGATTGGAAACTTTGAGGACCACTATCTTGGGTTTGTTGGGCAAGATGTTGTTGATGTTGCTGCTGCTGTTGTTGTTGATTTCCCTGGGGCTGTGGTGGTGGTTGATGTTGCATAAGTTGGCCGGTAAGATGATGGGGCATTTGTCCTTGATGTGGTGGCTGACTTTGTCTATTGGCCGAACGTACACCATAAATGCTTTCCGAACGTTGTTGCAATTGATTTTGTACATTTTGATTTTGCAAGTGTGATGATTGTTGGTGTTGTTGCTGTTGATGTTGTTGCTGCTGTTGTTGTTGATGTTGCTGTTGTTGTTGCTGCTGGTTGACCTGTTGATTCATGCGATACAAACTTTGAGCTGGCACCAATGGACCTGATCTGGGCACAATATCACGATTGATGGCAGTATTACTCTTGGCATAGACCGACTGAGAACGATTCAAATTGGTACGAGTCAAAGTGGGTGAACGGCAGTACATTGATCGGGTGCCACCATATAAGGGTTCTTGTTGTTGATCGAATTTAGGTGGTGCGGTGTACAAATTTTGACAATAATTTCCGTTGCCAGCATTTCCATTGGGTGGAGCAGCACTAGTCTGTTGGGGTACATTAGCATTTTGTCCACGCTGGAAGGTACCGGTATATTTGGCTTGCATATTTTGCTTCTCCAAATCCAAATCATAATTCAATTCATCTTCGGAATTCATGGATGACGACTCATTATCCATGGATGCCTTAATGTGGCGAGCATTCCTCTTTGTGCTGAAAATGAATTCATAGACAATACCCGAAGCAATGCCACCAACCAAAGGGCCAAACCAGTAAACCCAATGATTATCCCATTTGTTTAGAACGAAAGAGGGTCCCAATGAACGAGCCGGATTCAAATATGGCATCTGTAAAAGGAGACAATGGAAATAAGGATATGTTACAAAGAAAACATTTCTATTTTTGAGATTAACAATAGGGGTTTGGAGGAGGAGTAAAACAAAAACTACGCTTCTTGTAATTGCATTTTCAATCTGTTGTGAATTATGTCTGCATCTGTGCAACAGCTGTCATTTAGATTTTCTCACGCTTCTAAGGATGTGCGCACACAAGTGATCCTTGGAATAGATGAAAATCTATTGTTACAGCCAGCAGCAGGTAGTCGTCATCCACCCTCTAAATAGACAATAGAAAGCAAAAAACACGTGCAGCTGCAGGTTTCAAATTTCTAATCACCTGCATTGGTAGTTGATTTGAATGTAAATCCTCTCTAAGAATGCGTGCATATGTAAGGGAATTTCAGATTTGTTTTCATCCCCTTTTTTAAATACACTGAAATCATTACATCTGCATAGCGATTTGCTTATTTGTAAAGCCTTTGCAAATATATTTTAGGATTTGTGTATTTTTGATCACTTCTTGATAAAGATAATAAAAGAAACACCATGTTCAAAACCAGTGTTCAGCTATAATGAATGTTACCTATTATGTGTGTCGAAATTCAAATTTCCGCTTTATTTCTATTTATATGTAAATGTGGTTGGAGGCGATTTAAAATATCTTCGGATTATGAATCTTTCTTTTTCTTTATATTTAAATATTTATTGTATTTAAATACAAAAATTATCATCCTGGAGTTTTTTTTAGATCTCTACAACATGATTTGTCATTTCAGGAATTGAAAACAAAAATGACAAAAATGGTAACAACTCTTCGGCAGTTTTTTTATTCTTACTAATTTTCATGATCAAAAGCAATTTCTCAAGTATGTTTTTTTTGAAGGCCACTCAGAACATAAAACATTATACGATACGACCACAACAAAGGTGGCGGCAAAAATAAAATATACTAAAATACAGAATAAAGTTTCAGAAATCACCGACTTTGAAGCTACTCTTTTAGATGATGCGAAAAAAAGACGATGACAACAAAAACAACGGCATCGAATACCAACCAAATTGAAAACTGAGAATGAAGTAAATCTTCAAGTAAATTGCTTCGATATTAAGAGATTTTTTTTTTTGGTTGAATTTTTATGAAATGCCTAAACAGCAGGTGTTTTTCGGTTTTATACTACTGCCTGGATGATGACGATGACGATACAAATTACAAGGAGCACAAAAAAAGTGAAACATAAGCATTTTGTGAAAAATTAATGAAATAAAAAACGAAACCATAAATCGAGAAATACAAAAAACAACAACAACATGAAACTTACCGACACAAAACTGCACGCACTATAGGCTGCAGCTATGGAGGATGCAGAATGTCCCATAACTTTTTTAACAGAATCCGTTGAGACGAAATATGTTAAGACCACAACAAAAGTTAAAATAAATTCCACACCAAAACGTTCCCAGGCTGCTAAGGTGGCACTGTGAGATATGGCTGCTTGTAAATTACCCTGATAACCGGGTACGGTGACACTGTAAACGAAAAAAAGAAATAAAACAATTATATACAAATTCTAGATTTTAAAATTACTATATATATATATAAAATTATAATTTTAATATATATAAAAAATGTAATTCAATGTTCAAGCGGATCTATACAGTAATTTGAGATGTGTGATATTCCTTCGAACAATATCAAAATATATATCCCCGTTCTCCTTCCATCTAAGATTTATTTGAAAATGATGGTTTTGGTAAGCTAAAAAAGGGATATGATTGAAAGGTATTGGTTACATGTATTGTATTCCAACATGGACATCATGAGAGTACGCAAAAATATACTTGAGATGTTTTGTGAGTCTTTGCATCATCATCTCCTCACAAGAAGTTAAGATCTGTTAAAAATACTAAGCGGAAAATAAATACAGCAACGGAAAGGACAGACAAGTTAATTTAAAGTTTCCCACACGTACATTATCATGAAGGGGAAGGTATATTGCAACACTTCTTTAGTATTAAGGAAGGATACTAAAGATATATTTCAACAAAATTAATGTGACAATATTTTAAAGATCGGGAACACCGCGAATCAACATATCATGGATAATCTTTTTCACATATAAAGAATTTGACATCTACTTAATTAACTTGGAATATATGTGCAGGGTGCTTATAAAAATCGAATTAACCCCACTCTTTTTCGCGATAATATTTTAACTTGTCATAAATACACAATACAAAAACAATTATAGGGGTTGTGGTTTTATTGTATGATGATCGTGATGTGAGTATGTGATATAGCAAAACAAAAATGTAGCACTCGTTGATTTTGACAATGGGGTAGATTAAACAACCATTATATTGAGGGGTTGCTGAAAGCAATTGCTGTGATATTTTTTTCGTGTTTTGTGACACTTCTTGTGAGTGTCACTTAATTGTTTTTTTTCGGTATGGATATGTATACCTGTTGTGAGATGGATGTATGTACATTTTTGTTTTCAGATTTTTTCGGCGTTGTATGTTTGTGTAGTGAGTGTCATGTCTCGCATTCAAATTTATGTTAAAATTTATGACCAAATGTTAGTGTTATAGTTTTTTTCGCTCTTCAAAAGTTTGGGAAATGTGGGTGATTTTATTATTTATTTGGAACATAATATGTGCTGTTGAAAGTGTGACATATGGGGGCATTTTATTATTTATTGCTTGCAATTCGGAATGTTATATATGGAGGAAATAAAATTTAGTATATAACTTAAAGACTTTCCAACAAAACGATGTTATTTCTATATAATAAATAATTGATATTGAAAAAAAAAACACTTCATAATTTTTTGTTTTTTTTTTCGTTTAAATATTTAACATTAACCTTCTCCAAGTATCACTCCAAAACTTCTTGTAATGTTTTTTCCATCCTTAAAATTAAACATGTGTTTTTGAAGAGAAAGATCATATTTCCTTAATGCTTAACAGCTGAAAAAACTCCTTATGAATGGATTTTTTGTGAGTACATAAGTATTTTTTTATGTGCATAGTAAGTGTTTCCATGTGTAAACAACAACAACATTTTCTTTTGTCTTCTTTTTCATCCGTCTTATAACAAAAAACAACAACAAAACCGAAACATTAAAAAAGTAGACATGCTAAGAATTTTGTTGGTTTACTTTATTTTAAACTCCATTAGGCGACAATTGATATCCTGTCATGGAATTTTTAGAGGCCAACATATTCTAAACATGTGCGTGAGTGTGTGTGTTTTTTACATTGTTTGGAATAAAACTAACACATTCGAACACATAAATTCATTGTTGTTTTTTTATTCAAGTTTGGACACGTTCCAAAAATCACAATCTACCTTCCTTGTCCGTCGTCCATAATTATCAAAGAAATTGGGGTTTCTTTTGTATGTGACTTTGGAGGTCTCGTGTTGAAATTATATGTTTTATTCGTGTATTGAACTTAATATTCAAAGAACGCAAGAACGGTCAGAAGTTGCATGCCGCAAATGTCTATGCGCATGGGTAGCGGCGCTTATTGTTTGTTCATTATACTTTATTTCAGCTTTGTACCCGAAAAAATCGTATTCAATAGTCATCCATTCTTGTTATTGTCTTTTGGTCATACCCCAGTGATGACTTCTGCATTTTCTACGTATGTATGTGGTTTATGGTTTCTGCATTCATTAACTCTTCCCTTGACCACTGCTGCTTGCTTTGTCGTTTCCGACACACAGACACACACTTCTTACTTGGCAGCTTGTAGACATATGCAACAGGACGTGTTTTTGAAAAAATAAATATTTTTTATTTAAACACGTGTCTCAATTTTAAAATTCAGGTTTTCTTCCTTTTTTATCAGTCATCATCATCTGCTTAAACAAACGGGTTTAATTTGATTCATCCGAAAAACCACCTGCTCCTTTATGGACGACGCATATGGATATGGTCGTACTATGTATGTTTGTGTGTAATTTAAATGAAACAAAGGAAGAATTAATTCTTGAACAAAGATTCGTTTTCTTCGATTCTATATGGTGGTTGTGATCCCAAGAAAGAAGAATATAAACCACATTGAAACAGTTTTTTATAATGCAGATTCAATACAATCAAGAAAAAATCGGCGTGATAGAACTTAAAAACTATTTTGCCTTTACTTATTAATTTTAAACTAACAAAGTATTTTATAACTAAATTTTAAATAAATAACTACGAAGAAATGATGTGATATCACCTTCAATATAAAATAAAATGAACTCCTAAAAATATGCTATAAAAAACAAAACAAGAACTTGAGACAAAAAAAGAACAATCAGATTTGAAAAAAATATTTAGAGAAATATTTTTAAGTTAAAAATATTTCTCTACATGTTTACATGCATGATAATCTTCTTGTATTTAAAACCCAATTAAAAAAAAAATATGCGGTTTAAAGTCATCAATCAAATCAGTGACTGTTGAACTTTCTTTAAGTGTGAATGAACGAAACATCTGTTTCAACAAAATTCTTTTTCAAAAAAAAAAAAAAAAAAAAACTAGCAGCTGATACATTTATCTTTCTTCGATGGCAACAGCAACAACAACAAATAAAGAATGGTCAGTATGTATGTGGAACAAAATTAAAAAAATGAAAATAAACACAAATGGAACAGATGTTTTACAGACGCCAATCCCTAATTCCCCATGTGCTACACGATAATGTTCGCGCTACACTGTATAAAGCAGAACAATCTTAGAAAATTAATCTTTAAAAAAATAACAATAATGATGATATCCTTTAAAGGCCAGGTAGCTGGTGTGCGTACCTCCCATTGTGAAGTGTTACGCATGTGCGTTTAAATATCCTAGATTTATGATTCTTTGAAATCGAATAGTTTTTTTTTTCGTCTCAATGCACCTACACAAATATAAGAATGGCAGGATATTCTAGACAAGGATTCCTAGTTAAGATACAGACAGACAATTGCGTACACACACATAGTCGGCGGCCATTAATAGGTAAAGGTCCCTATTTATTTAAGTGTTTCATGCTCTTACAAAGATAAATCTCATTTTTTTGTTAATTTACAAAGAAAAGGAGACAGATGTTTTATTAATCTGTTTGAAAGGAGAGAGCTAGGGGGACAAGAAGATTTCTTTACAGGATACCATTGTGTACTTATGGTAATAGGTTTCAGTCAGTCTTTCTGTCACTAAGAGGGGTGGATTCCTTAATATATCTACCTGCCGCTGCTGCTACTGATGTTTGCTTAGTGTAGTAATGAAGAAACTGTATGTTTTCTATGAAAAATCTAGTCTACTTAGATCAATCCTTGTCATCATCATCAGCATCTAGATTCATATGCGTGTCAATGTACGACGGAAATGGATTTTTATGCTTCTTTTGTGCGTACATATGTGTGTGTGGTTATGGACAGAAGTTTATGTGCGTTCTGTTTAATAATTTTTTGTTTCATTTTGTTCGCTTTTGTTTTCTTTTTTGTGATCTCCTTTTGCCATCAGCGACAATTTTTACCACAAAAATTTTTTTGGCTTTACCAAAAAAAACGAAAAGAAAGTTGCAAATTTTTCTGGGGCTGTCAGACAGAGGATACAGCTGCCAAAAGCAAAGTAAATTGTTGCTTTAACACAATCATAAAATTAAATGACATACATACACACAAATGAAAAATAAGGACTGTTCGGAAAGAGAATAAATTTAAACTGTTCGATTCGGGCATATATCCAATTGTGAAGGAAAATTGATGAAAAGCATTTCAATGTTATTTGGTTCACTGAAAATTATTCCCATAACAGTCCTTAAATACCGTTTCCATCATCACACACACACACACACTAAGTTCAGCTTTAAAGGATTAATGCGTACAAATGCAACATAAAAACGAATCAGTTGTTATTTATAAGCACGTACATAAATATGTAGTACAATTTCATATGTGAAACATAATGACTCTTGGTTTCAGCTTCTACTCTCCCCCTGTTCCCTTTTACTTGTTTCCACAACTGGCTTTTGAGGTCAGTCTTTAAATGCATGCTGCTGCTGCAAGCGTGTTTTTTTTACTAAGGTATACGTTTTTTGCAAAGGTGCACAGAAAAACATAATTTTTGTATTTTTTCTTATCTGGAATTTGTTGCATGAAACTTGGTCGTACAGAAGAAATTAATAATAAAAACATTTGTAAAAAAACAGAAACAAACTTACCCATAAAGTAGAGCAGCTCCAGCTATGCCTCCACCACATTGGGCGGTTATGTACATAGCAGCTCTTAAAGGTGATATAGAACGTATGACACAGGATGCTAAAGTAACGGCTGGATTTATGTGAGCGCCTGTGAACAAAAACAATAAATTATTACATTGAATAAAATATTTAATACAAGGAAAAAATCACAAGATTATATCCCATACAAAAATTAATCACAATTGCTGTCAAGTTAAACTTCTGTTATTTGTTTTATGAAATCAGAATTATGTTAAAAAAATTCTTGTCCCCTAAAAAAATTAAAAATCCGTAACCACAAAGCATAAATGCCATAAACCTATGTAAACAAATTGTAAATCACAAACACATGTTGAAAATTTGTTTTCAACTTTAACAAAATATTACAAAAAAAGTACAAAAACAACAACAATAATAAAATGTAATATTACAATCTCAAGGGACCAAATATTTATGCTCATATGTGAAGGAGATGACTTTTTGTTGTTGTAATTAAGTTCCCTAGCAAGTTGTTATCATTACTTTGGTGTTGTTGCTGTTGTTTATGTAGTCATTCCTAAATGCCACCATTTTCAGCAGCAACAACAGAAAAATCTTTCAAATCATTAAAACTTCTCTTCCCCCATTTCCCCACGCATTGAAAAGTGTAATGAAAACAAATCCATTATGTGACAGAATTCCCCATCCCCACCTCACCCTCACTCACCACATTGCACATTCATGCCACCAAAACAGATGTATGAACATTTATTCATACTATTTTTCCTTTATGTGTTTTTTTTCTTTTTTTTTTGGGAAACATATATATTTATGTACGTATGTGTAAACTAAACACTTATGTGCCTTTTTGGAGCACTTACACATTCGGTTTATATTTGTTGTTGTTGTCCCACTTCAGAAAAAAACAACATACACACAAAAACCTATCAACCCTTCACATACTCCCAGTTCGCCCTGTTTTTTTTTAGCATTTTATCGACGACGACATCTACTACAGCTCCTTGTCTTGCACTTTCGTCTTTTCTTGTGTATTGCTAAGAGTTATGCATGCTTACCCGATATATGCAGGAAACATTGTGTTAGGGTCCCCATAGCTAAGCCCGAAGCTAAAGCCGTAGCCAATAACACCGAAGAGACACTGGCACCCACGCCAGCACCAGCCGCTGCACCACACACAATGAAAACATAAAAGAACGATGCCAAACATTCACTAATTATGGATCTGAAATTATGGAAACAAAATAATGAGAAATTTTAATTTAAAGATAAAGGAGTAAGGATTTAATAGGGATAATGTACAAATATATGTACATAGTGTAAGGAAATATAATAGGGTAACATGTTAATAATAATGTTGTTGTTACAAGAAAATTGAAGTGAAATTAATAATCTTTTATGCTGGAACTTTTTTTATAAAAAAAATTAATTTTTAGAAAAAATATATATTAGTATATTATATATATTAGTCTATTAATTTTGTGGTATGTTCCCGTTCACAGAAACTGGTAAAACTTTTCATATGTATAAAGGGAAAATCGAAACTAAAAAAGCCTAACAAAAAACATAAAGATTTAATAATCGAAACCAATTCCGATTAATAAAAATAATGGTCATGGAAAAGACCAATAATCATTAAATTAATAATGAAAAAATATAAATTGCTATTTCAAAGTTGATTGTGATTTGTATATTTATGCTATTGTAATGTTAAAATTTTTGAAATTATATATTTATGTTTCTATAAATTAATTTTAAATTTTTTTAAATTATATACACTTATAAAAATGTTTCTAAAAAAATATTTGTATATTTTTATTAAGTCTAATCAAATTTAAATTTAATATTTAACGCCATTTACATTAGAACTTTTTACAGGGTTAACCTACTTTTAGTTAAGCCATTGGGTTAAATAAATCCAGTACAGTGCAAACGTACTATTATTTAATAAATGCTTATTTCAAAATAAAATATATTAGAATAAACTGAAATGGAAGTAAAAAATGAGTACGAAGTTCGGCTATATGAATCCTCTGTTTGGTAAAGGTCTCATATGTGTTATTCCCCACTTCCATTTGTATAAAAAATGTTAATTACAAATTTAATTTTAAATTTCTTTAATATTTTTCTGAGTGTATGTATACAAAATCTCCGTTCCACGAATGAACCCGTGTTCCCTAAACAGCTGCAAGTGTTTATTGATTATTATTCTTAAAAAAAAACGTCAACGGCAACTCTTCAAGTGAAAAAAGCGTTGGCGTTGAGAGCCCGCCCTTCTTGTCAAATTTCGAAGTAAACAAACTGATTCCAAGAATTTCTGGATGATGAGAGTGACTTCATTGTCATTAGTAAATAATGGTATTCTTTGTTTTTTGTTTCGTGATAAATAAAAACAAATAACAGTCACTCTATAATTTCTCCCTTTCAACGAACAAACAAAATTAAATTGTAAATGATTTATATTGACATTCTATGTAAATCTAGGCAAATATGTATGTACTAATAATGCAAACATACCTCCAAAATTCCAATGTTCTGATTTCGGCCTGCATACTACGTTTTGGCTGCAGGGTACTGGACAAACGATTATTAAGGGCATTGCACTGATTGTCGCGTCGTATAGCCTCCAGACGTTCAAATAATGTAACAATATGGGCATCGATATTGTTCTCCAGCGGTATGGTTTGCAATGTTTCATCAGCCATTTTTATGGGGTTTTGAATTTTATTTTTTTATGCACTTGTTTTTGTATCAAATACTTTGATTTTTTTAATAAACAAAAATATGTTATTTATTTATATCTTATTTTGTTATATTCTTTTTAAGATTTACAATTTTTTCTTTTTTAAATTCACAAATTTTTCATATTTCACTTTTGTTCAATACAATTTTCGTTTTATTTTGTGTTTACAAAAATAAGATGAGCAACCGTCAAACGATCGTATTGTTGTGCTGGTCTGGACTGCAACACCGGTGGTTTCAATTGAAATAAATTAAATTCAATTAACGATAATTCTGCTTCACTTAAATGATTGCAAACGAAAAAACGATGAACTAGATATCAATCATATCGTTTCCCCTTTTATGAAATTGCAATTATTTTTTCTTTTTTGTATTTGTTTTGCAGAAAACAAAATTTGGAAAAATCGTTAAAACGATCTTTAACGATTTTCCTTTAAATTTGATTCTGTATCACCCGCGTAAATTTGTAGACGCTAACCTCTCTTTACCGAGTAACAAACACGAATGAATAGTTTTCGTTGTCACATTCAAGCCATTGACGAAGACAATGCTTGGTGTAGTGACGACGACAACGATGATGATGGTGGTTGTTTTTGTGTGGTGGCGGTTGCGGTGGTGGTGAACAAAAAATCCCACCGGCACAACAGTTTGCAAAGTGAAATGCACATGTTCGTTACGTACACACACACACGGACGCACATACACCAACATTACCCTCGAACAAAAACATCCTCCGCTACCTACTTCATAACTCACCACCGCCATCAACAACAACCTGACCGACATTCTTTTCGAACCGAACCGAGTTCACACAGTTTTTCTGTGCTTTCAAACATGTTGGATTAAGTGCATTAAATGTTGTTATATTTCCTTGAAAATGCTACATGTTACGAATGAGTTTGAATAGTTGGTTGGTATTGTATGATGGACAACAAAATGAAAGTGAAACATTCAGGTATGAATAGAGTATGTCATAAAACGGCTTTGAACATTTTTTATCCTTTTCTAGTAAATCTATCATTATTGAATACAAATCTAGTGCATACAAAAACAATTCTGTTAGTTGAAATTTATGATTGAAATAAGGCTACGTTTAAATTAAAGTTATTTGTCGTAATGATGCCACGATTATGATAAAAGGTGTCAATGTAACCTGCATTTATGATCAGTTTCAGTAATAATTTCAATGTAATAATTAAACAGATAAAAATATTTGAATGCCTCTAGTCGATATTAATAACACACATACTTAGGGAGCTAAATGGTATAACTAATATTTTCCATATTACCACGGGATTTCTAATTTCAAAACTAAAGTCATTTTCGCTGCATTAGAAGGAGATAAATTAACGTTATCATATTTCCGCTCGTTAACAAAATCATTTAGTCATTAGAAGTACTTATGCTTAAATGCGGATATCCGTCTACGAAAATTAGCGAGCTATTTAGGCACGCCAATGAAGAACTTGGCATACCTGTAATATGAAAAATGTACGCAGTCTACTCTTCATAATTAGCGATTGTAAACAAAATATGATAATTGTGATTTGTTTAAGGGGCGAGAAATTTTAATTAACCAGATAACAGTACCCTACAACATACAGTAGTACAGGATAATACGTTTGTGTGCATATAAAGAGTAATTTTTAAGATCTATAAATCTCGATGTAGCAATGTTGAACACGTCTGCGCCTCAAATGTTCAATCCGCATAGCTCAATTATGTAAGGCAACCAGATTTGGAAAATGAAAATTGATTACAAAAAGAAAAATATTAATAAAAATAATAGTATTAATAAAAATAATAGTAGTGTGTAAAACGTACATTTTTATTTACATGTAAATATAATACCTTCTCTAAATAAATTTTTGGTTCTGGGCGAATAATCTTGGGACCTTTATAAGAAGTAGACCTATGTCGACTATGTTTTCAAAGGGTGATACAGAATAAAATTTTGCAAACCATAGGCCACAAGGAATAGTAAATTATATTTACTTTTGAAAGCAAACTTTTGTGAAATAAAAACATATTTGTGTAGGGTATAAATATTAAAAAGTCTGTTTCTTTCTATTCGGGACAACTAGAAACATAGAACCCAAATATCAATTTACATTACCCTGTAAATACTAGTCTTGTGTCGTTCGTGAACGAGTTCAATTGAACGAGTCAGTCTGCTGAACGAATGAACGACATAGTTCAAAGTTTATTATTGTCGTTCACTGAACGATTTTGTTTACCAAACGTCGTCGGTCACTGAACGACGTTGATCACTGAACGACGTCGTCGGTCATCGGTCACTGAACGACGTTGCTCCCTGAACGACGGAGAATTTTAATCCTCAGGGTCGTTCAGGGGTGCTCTGTCTTTGACCAACTGAACGGCGTCAAACAAGATCAACTTCATGTAAAATCTGATAAATTGAAAAAAGACACTCGGAAAATTATTCCATTGCGGTGTTCAAAATGTCAAATCAAAATACTGCAGTAGTTTTTAAGCATAGCTAGGGAGCAGTAACCAATTTGAAGCGAAATTTTAAAGATTAGCACCCATTTGCTTTAATTGACTCCCAAAGACAGCCGCTAAAAGAGAGATGGAAACCCCGGAAAAAGTGGCACAGGTGTCTGGAGCAACAAATGTGCAGTCGAATATAACGGAGTGCAGAAAATAGATAGTCAAGTTCTTCGAATGTAATACCAATTGAACTGAGTAATCATTTCAACGATATAAGTCAACTGAACGTGGTGAACGACCTAGTTCAATTTTAAAAAATGACCTAGTTCGTTCGATCGCTGTACTGAACGAGATTGCCCAAAACTAGAAAATACCAAATTTTTTTTAATTAAAAAAAAAAAATAAATATTGACCAAGATTTTAAAAATATAGATGAATAAATGCAATAAATGCATCAAAATTCAACAAAAAATCTGCGTTGCGGTAGGTCGTTCGGTTCATTTTGCTAATAAAATTCAATGTCAAATATCAGCTTACATATTAATAAATAACAACTTTGGCAATGGGGTCTCCGGTGAACCCCATAAATTATAGGGGAGAGGGGGGCACCTTTGAACACTTTTTGCTTTCAAGACTTATAAATTTTTTTATTTTATCATTTTTGGTTTCAAAATTTTGTTAGGTACATATGTAACCTTTAAAATGAATATACATATGACATACTATAAGCTTGATAAATATTTATTACTGTTTTAATGGACGAGCTCAAAGTGTTCAAAACTTTGCCCCAGGGGGGCAGTTTAAAGTTGGCATTTTTGAACGACATGGTTTTTTACAGTGTTTATGTTCAAATATGTATGTATTTTATTAATACATATCAGAAATGCATTAATTAATTAAAAAATATATAAAAAATGTTACAAAATTTAAATAATTTAGTCAAAAGTTATTATAACATAAAATTTAAAAATAAAAATTAATATAGTGAAAAATACAGTTAATTTCGTAATCTTATTAGCCCATTTGAAATTTTGTAAATCGTGACCAAAAGCTATAAAATTTTACTTGTGTAAAGCTCAATGTTTTTGGCTATACCTAAAATAACTTTTTTTGTAATAAATATATATGAAAGAAATTACATTATTTATGTTTGAAATTATTCACTCAGTACGCAAAAAATTTTGGGAAAACTATCCGACCACCTCCTCGCTTTAAGATGTAATAGATTGTAAATTGTCTTTCATACAAATGACGACATTTTCGACAATTCGATCACACTTTTCCACAACTGGCGATTCTAATATATCAACTGAGTTACGTCATAGGATAACATCTTGCCTAAATTTGTTTAATATAGTCAAATTCGCTTATTGAACGGGCCAATTGCAGTGAATTTGTTTCAATTATCCAGGTTATACAATAATGCGTAGTCTGGATAATTGATATATGTTTCATTTAACAGAAGTTCGAAGTTCAATAAATTTTATTTAAATAAATCTGGTATTCGAAATTCCAGGAAAATAAAGACATTTTAAAACCTTTAGAGATAGCTTCTCCCTTCATGTAATTCCATTTTGGTCCATATATGGTCAGAAAGTTTTTCTGATTTATCAGCCAAAAATTAGTTACCATGTAAAACGCATATGTTCTTTCAATTATGCGTAGTAGTTTTCAGAGAAACATCACCCGTTGGAAGTAATATCGTTTTCAATTAACCGATTTTTCTTTTAAGGGAACCACCCCCATTCTCGGGGTAAAATTTTTTTTGATTTAATTCGATTCTACACTAAATCCAAATGAATAAAAATTTCAATGTGAAAAACATCTCACCCATGCACAATTTTTCGAAACTGAAAAAGCAAGCCAAAGTGGTTATATAGAGAACAAGATTGCCATATACAAAAATGTGGTTGCGGGCACGGAAAAATATTAAACTAATTTTATGAGCCCAATCGATTCCAAATTTTTACACGTTATACAGTATGTCAAATATCAGTTTACACATTGAATAAATAACAACTTTTTCAATTTTGTTAGTAATAAACCCAAATGTTTCTTTATTTTTACCCAAAAAAAATCTATAGGGTTAAGGTCGAGCCCTCGGGTTGGCGTCTCCAAAACTTTGCCGCAGTTTAAAGTATCCACATCCGCACTATAAGTATCTTATGCTTAAGATCATTATCCTGATAAAAAATTAAATATGATTTGTCGTCCCTGATGAACCGAAAGTTAATATAAATGGTTACCAAATGTTTTGTCAATGTTATATAACAATTATCAAAAATAAATTATATTCACAAAAATATGAAATTTTGACATTGGCCCATGTAAACCGTGACCGACAATGCTATCAAATTTTACTTGTGTAATGCTCAGTGTTTTTGGCTATACCTGAAATGGACTTTTTGCCAAAAAAAAAAAAATCTGATTCCATGCCCAAAGTGGTCATGTATATTTTTCTAGTAATTATGCACTCAGTACGCTTATTAATTTTGGGCTTCCGACCACCTCCTCGCTTTAACTTGAATCTTCCCTCGATTTCAATCAAGCG